ATTTTAACCAGAAGACCAGGAAGTAATGGAGACTCCATGATCACGTATTTTCTGCTTTGGAGACCACCAGCCCATCCTGATACTTTTTCCTTCTCCTGGTTCTCAGAGACTACGATTCGCTGGATGAGCAGAATGTGGAGAAGAATAACCAGCTGGCCTTTGACATTGCTGAGAAGGAACTCGGCATTTCTCCCATTATGACTGGCAAAGACATGGCCTCCGTGGGCGAGCCTGACAAACTGTCCATGGTGATGTACCTGACGCAGTTCTATGAGATGTTCAAGGACTCGCTGCCCTCCAGTGGTAAGGCCCTGACGGCGGCCCGCTCGGAATGGCCCTCATCTCCCACAGTGGTGTTGCCGGGAGGGCCTGCCTGTCTCCTCTTCCACCTGTGCCCTTCGTGGGTGCCACCGACAGCAAACCTCCGCTTCCTCTGTGTGCTCTTTCTGGTGGGCACGGGGCAGGTGTCTGGAATGTTGCTGCTTGATTCCCCCTTTCTCCAGTGGGTCTTCAAGGAGGCCTGGTGGTGCAGTGGTTAAGTCCTCAGCTGCCGACCAAATGGTTAGCAGTTCGAAGCCACCAAGCACTCGCAGGTGGAAGCTGTGGCCCTCTGCCTCGCTAAAGATTGCAGCCATGGAGACCTCCTGGGCAGTGCTGCTCGCTCGCAGGGTCACTGTGAGGCACAAACCACTTTGGGTTTTGTGAAGTTGGTCTCCACCAGACCTCTCGTACTCAGTGATTAAGTGGGTGGGAGACATTCCCACCCACTGTCCCCCCGACTCTGCAACCGTCTCGTACCTTCTCTCCTAGGACCGGGCTTTCTGAACAGGTGATCTGGGCTTGCCACCTCCCTTACCTCACAGCCCAACACGCACATCCTGTGCCACCGACCTCCTGTCTCTACTGCTCTGTCCAAATTATTCTCCAGGGGCATTAAGACCCACCACACCCACATTCTTTCCTCATGCCTCACTTCCCATCCACTTGCGTTTTCTCTGTCATTCATCTCTGGAATGATGTCCTTATTCTGGGAACATTCTCTTCCCCTGGCTGCCACAATCCGGTGCACCCTCCCCCCGTCACTGG